ATTTTTACCAAAACTAATCAAATCTGCGCATTGGCCCAGAGCATCTATGCACCAAGTTTCATCAAAAACCGATGTATGGTTCTTGAGATAGCAGTGGAACAGTCGGACACACATACACACATACACACACACATACACACATACACACATACACACATACAGACACACTAACTGCAAAGACTCCCATTTTGTGCTTCGCACATGGGAGTCAAAAACAAATCAGAGAAGGACTTACCATTGCTTCATTAGTTTCATATACCCATTGTTTTGGTTTTTTCGGCTTTTCCACTTCTTTTTTCTTCCCTAGATAGGGTTTCATTACAATAGCATCTGGTGCAACAACTAAATAAATACAAGAAAACAATTATCAAATCCCCCTAGGTCAATACAAAAAAGAAATCATCATAGCCCCTAGGTCAATACAAAAAAATTATCATAGCCCTCTAGGTAAAAAAAAATCATCATAGCCCCCTAGGTCGATACAAGAAAGACATTATCATAGCCCTCTAGCTCAATACTAGAAAGACATCATCATAGCCCCCAAGGTCAATACACAAAAGAAATCATCATAGCCACCTAGGTCAATACAAGAAAGACATCATCATAGCCCCCTAGGTCGATACAAGGAAAAAATCATCATAGCCTCCTTGGTCAATTCAAGAAAAAAATCATCATAGCCCCCTAGGTCAATACAAGATTGAAATCATCATAGCCCTCTAGGTTGATACAAGAAAGACATCATCATAGACACCTAGCTGAATACTAGAAAGACATCATCATAGCCCCCTAGCTCAATACATGAAAGAAATCATCATAACCCCCGAGGTCAATACAAGAAAAAAATCATTATGACTCCTTAGGTCAATACAAGAAAGACATTGTCATAGCCCCCTAGGTCAATACAAGAAAGACATCATCATAACCCCCTAGGTCAATACAAGAAAGAAATCATCAAAGCTCCCCAGGTCAATACAAGAACGACATCATCATAGCTACCTAGGTCAATACAAGAAAGAAATCATCATAGCCCCTAGGTCAATACAAGAAAAAAATCATTATAGCCCGCTAGGTCAATACAAGAAAGACATCACCATAGCCCCCTAGGTCAATACAGGAAAGACATCATCATAGTCCCCTAGGTCAATACAAGAAAGACATCATCATAGCCCCTAGGTCAATACAAGAAACACATCATCATAGCCCCCTAGGTCGATACAAGAAAGAAATCATCATAGCCTCCTTGGTCAATTCAAGAAAAAAATCATCATAGCCCCCTAGGTCAATACAAGATTGAAATCATCATAGCCCCCTAGGTCAATACAAGAAAGAACATCATCATAGCCCCCTAGGTCAATACAAGAAAAACATCATCATAGCCCCCTAGGT